AAGGAAAGTTAAGGCCAACGTGTTCTGTTCTATCACATAGTTCATGTGTTTTCACCAGACCTCCTGGGGTGTCAAAACTGCTGTAAATTTTATCCAAGAACGTATTATAGAAACAAATATTGATATAAAAGAGTGTAGGTAGGATTGATTGTTAGGTCTATGACCCTTAATTAAGTATTTTTGGTTCAAAAGTGGAGAATGATCAGTTAACAATTCATGGGCTCTTCTGAAAATATCTATTTAGAAACATCAAATATAAATAACCTTTCAACACAGTTTAAGTTCTTTAGCATTGTTGATCACTGACTTGTTAAAGCCTCATCTTGTTGTCATCTTTGTATACATTTATACATGGGATTGGATGGAATGTGTGTATGTGCACCTGGGCTTTATTCATACCCCCTTTTTTCTGTGAATTAAGAAAAAAACCTTATTTTACCCCCAATTGTGATTGTGTGCCCAGCTTGTCTTCTTTATTGATTGTTTCTCAATACCTGAAAAAGTAAGACCAGATTTCATATTGTCTTTATTTACACAGCAATATTAGCTTAGTTTAATTTTTTCTTATTGTCATTCAAATACTGTAAACTTTCTCCACCCACATGAAGAAGGGAAAGGAAGAGGGCAATGAAGAAGAAACTCATAATGTGAAAATGAATATAATGAGGTTTGCACAATATTTTGCTCGTTACGGTTATGAGATGGTGCCCTTTTGAAATTTCAGGACCAAGAGAGCTGACTGGTGCTGTTGATCTTATAAGTCATTACAAGCTGTTGCCCCATTACGAATATTTCTGCAAGCGGTCACTTCCTTTGTCAATTGCTGACACACATTATCTTCACAATGTGGTGGGAGACACTGAAATTAGGAAAGGAGAAGGGATGCAATTGGATCAGCTTATCCAAAATACCTCAAGAGATAGTAATGCACGCATACAGCCCTTTGACTTGAATGTACTTAGAGAGGCCTTCCAACTGAAGGAAACCACTCCCATAGATTTGCCTTCTGTAAGAAATCTATCTTGCCGTGTTTTTCATGGGATTATAGGTTGCTTTAGTTTAGTCTTGCACACTTGATCAAATTGTCATTGGCTCTTGTTTGACGTCCCAATGAATTTTTTATTTGTTTTTTTTTTTATTATCTTCTTTAGTCTGAGAAGGGGACTCCTACCATAGCTGGGAAATCAAAAGGTGAGTCCAAGGACAAGGATAGGAAGCATAAAAAACAAAAAGATAGAGATAAGGAGAAGGATAAAGAGCATAAGAAACATAAACGCCGTCATAAAGATAAAGATCGGAGTAAAGACAAAGACAAGGAGAAGAAGAAGGATAGAAGTGGGCATCATGATTCTGGTGCCGATCACTCCAAAAAACACCACGAAAAGGTTAGAACTCATTACTCACTTGCATTTTAAACAAGTAATTTTGCTGATGGCTAGGAAAGAACTGCTGTTATTCGGAGGTTTTGACATTCAATTTTTTATGTATGCTGTGATGTTTTCTTTTTCTAAATTTTGTTGAATGCTCAATGGCATTGTCAATAGACTTTTTGGTTGTATGATTTCAGAAAAGGAAGCATGATGGGGATGAAGATCTTAATGATGTGCATAAGCACAAAAAAAGTAAGGTAATAATATTTGTTTGAAGTTATGGTAATTTTGCAGCATTTTCAGTCTCATCTCTCTCCTTTTGTTATGAGTTACTTGACTGCTTTTCACTCCTTAGCTCCTTGTTCTCCTTACACAAGCCCTATATTTTATAATCTGTTCTCTTGCAGCATAAGAGCTCAAAGATTGATGAAATCGGTGTGATTAAGGTAGCAGGCTGAAACGGTTGGCATGCTATAGTTCATTTTTGTTTGAAGTGGTTGTAGTTGACAGTTTGGAAGGGGTTTTGACTGTCCTTTTTTCTGAGGTAAATACCTTTGCCAGAATATGATTTCTATCCTGCTTTTGATTTGATGTGTGAAAACTAATTTTGTGAATGTCACCTACTAGATACTCCCTCTCCAAAGTAAACAAATAAATTAATGATAAATTTTGGTTAGATAAAAGCTATCAGCTCATGGCTACTGAAAATGACTTCTATGAACATGTTTGAAATAACTTTTCCACTGGAGAATGCTTTTAGCCCCCTTTTAAGGCTAAAAAAGATGCTAATCCTGGTTTTGTCTTGTATACTACATGGGTCAAGTTGGTTTGTATGTGATCCATTATCAACTAGACACATTGTGATTAGGAGACGAAAAAAATAGGTGTTCACCTGCGATGTGGGTCTCCAATGCCCCTTATCTATTTATATTTTTGGAGGGGAAGTTCGCTAGCTTTCATGGGAAATGGAGCTAAATTCAAGGAGATCAAGGGTGCATGAAGGTTGAGATGGAGGTGGCTAAAGGTAGGCCTGGAGATAAAGAAGATCTTGATTGCTGTACTGTTGCATGCCATCTCGTTACCGTGGTTTTGAAACTCAATCCTAAAGATGCTAAAAAGTATCTTGCTGAATTCCATCTTTGGGTCTAGCCACCAAGGGTTCTGTATAAGTTCTCTAATATTTTTCTCACTGTGGTCCCACTTGTTCAAGTTCTATTATTTGTTGAAAGAGAAGATGAAGTTCTTGTCAGGCATTATCTAAAAAGGTGCAGGAATGATAATTTTTGGCTGATTTAAGTAAGAAGCACCCAAACACGAGAGCCTCTGATCCTCACACTCTGCAGTCTTCTACCTACCAGAATATAAATATACACTTTAGCATCGACCATTGCCTCTGCTTCAGTCTTCTACCTACCAGACACTTTAGCATCGACCATTGCCTCTGCTTATTTTCACTAACACAATTGAGACATTTCTTATGTTACATTTGCATTTTTATGCAGGGTAGGTTTTGAACTGACTGAAAATGCGAAGATGGTGAATTCACCTGACAAGAACATTTGGATGCCGGGTAGAAATTTGCAGAAAATGGAACTTGTATCATATAGTTTCTGGTAATAGGGAAAACTTCCATCCCTTCACTTTTTCCTTAGCTTTTACGGTACATTGGATATGTCAGAATGTACACATTATTGTAATCATTTTATCCCTTTTAGGGTAGTTCAAAGCGTCGTTCTATAATCAGTTTCATTTAGTATTTTTCAGCTTTTGAGTTGTAGGAAGAACATGTTTAGGATAGGGATTGTGTATATTAAATTAATTCCTTTCTTCCCCAGTGTTTTATGGCAATGATTGCGTGCATCTTTGTTAACCAACCAGAATTAAAATGGTCATGCTTACGTACGTTCTCTTTAATGCTGGACTTATTCTGAGGTTCTGAATCGTGTGTTGTGCAATAACTTCATTTGTAGACCAACATACCCCCAAAATCCGTGAGGCAAGAACTTTATTGTAATCATGTAACCCAGTTCAAAGAAATATCAGTATCACCTCTATCAAGTTTTAAAAGCAGAAGCAGCTTGACAGAATTCGGAATAACCCATCAAAAACAGTACAGACATCGCCAACATGACACCTCTCAAAGTGCATGCCAAGCTCTGGACCAGCCAATAATTCTGGGGACGCTGAAGACAAGAATTCCACCAAGTCGTTTGAGTGAAACTCTCATATCTCTTTGGGAACAGCTGGGAATGGACGGATGATTTCTATACGACGGTGGGTGGCATGGCTGACTATCAAGTTGTGAGCCATACCGAGTCAGGAGGGTGTATGCTTAGGCCATAGCAATAATTACCAATAATAAGTTCATAGGATGTTACGCTGCGTTTTTTTAGCATCACTTCCTGTTGACTGTAAAGACGCCCTTCCTGTTGCAGAGGAACACAACAATGGAAAGAACCCGTTCTCATAAACTAATGTTAAGGAACATAGAAGTGCTTGGTTGGAGTAACGAGATAGGGATATAAAATAAATTTATCTTTTAAATAGTTTTACAATAAATTTCTTTACATGAGGCGCATGAAGATGAAGATGTCTTCTCTTTCTCCATATCCATTTATTCTAACTTATAAACTCATTTTATTAATCAGTGTTAAGAATGAAGCTGCAATATGCAAACATGATGCCTATATTCATAGGCATCAAAACCAGATTAAAGAAAGATAATGATATCTGGAAAATTAATGGTGACAAATGTCTTATTGCATATGTACGTACATTAAATTGTACAAAGCAAGAAAGCGACAACATGTGATCAATGAATTTTCTAATTTTTTGTGTGATTTAAAAAAAAGAAAAAAAGAAATTGGGTCAACGAATAATCTTATGTACTACTCCGTCGCTGCGTTTATGGAGAAGTTGGGCGGGTAAAAAATATGCACCGGCGAACACAATTTTTATCAGGTGTTCTTAAAACAGTGTCATTGTTCTAAGCCACTCTACCCAATGGAAGAAGAGGTCATAGTTGGTGCAGCCGTGCAGGCCCTGCTGGTCTAGCAACATCTGCATGCCTTGTGTTTGAAAGAGAGGATGTCTATGCCTCTTTATGGAAGAAAAGGGCATGTGATCGTTTGACGTTACACCTCTCAAAGCAATATCGTGAGCAATGTGTTCACAAAGCAATGTGTTTTAATCAATTCTAATATTGCATTGCAGTGTGGCCATGGCCTTTTTGCTGAAAATGGAATTCCAAAATGAAGCTTTCCTGATTATTGGAAGGGGAAGAATGGTCTGTCTTTACTGTGCTGGTTTTGCTAGAACAGAACTCCTTGGAATTTCAAATGATGAGCTCAGCATAGCACAGGATACTAACTTGGTGTTGAAAAGCAAGTGAAGGAAACAGGAGTGTATGTGTGAGATTCAGTTAGTTCTCGATGTCCTTAAGATGCAATGGAATATAAGTATTCCATTTCTTTAGGACAAGTATTAGCATGCAATTCTTCTGTTGTCTGTATGTTAAAATGGTCATTGCCCACCTAATTTTTAATTACACGACTCGAAACATAACTTCGATCGAGTTTTGCTCCAATTTTTTTTTTTTTTACCATACAACATAAATAGAAGAGGAGAAGGTCAATGTGGTAAGCTGTCTCAGATAGCATGAACAATAAACTTCTACAAAGTAGCTGTTAGCTAATAAAAGATGCATCAGGCCACACGATGTGATACTGTGCAAGTGTTATCTAACTACAGGTTGACAAGATACCTGAACGCATTGCAGCTATTCTTCCATCTTCTCAGCAAAGCAAGAATGGGAGCTTGTGTTTTGCAACAGCCTGGTCATCTTCTCAGAGGCCGCTGCCTGCACTTTTCTTAACTCTTCGATTCTTCTGGTCTCCAGCTGTAATTCTTCTTCCAGTGTATTCAACTCTGCCTCCTTGAGATCTGTATCAAAGACACATTGCTGGTATTCAATTATCATACTCTGAATTTCAGACATTCCATTCTCGGTGATTTCTAGGAGAGTTTCCTTCTCCTGGGTTACAGTTTGAAGTGCAAGTTCCAATTCCTCCACGGATTTTGATCCCTTTTGTATATCCATCTGAACAACTTGTATTTCACTCTCTATCTTATCCAATCTTTTACTCAAATCCTCATATTCTCTTTTTACAAGACCAAGCTTTTCTCGGGACAACTTCATCTCACTTTGTAGCTTGGTTTTCTCTTCCTCGGACTTCAGTAGCTCTGTAGCTTTCCCACCTAATTGCCAATTTCTCTGTGACGTGTCTACTTTCTCGATGTTATCAATGGCAAAAAGAACCTTTTCACTCTCCTGTCTCTGATTCTTCTCCTCGAGTTTGGATTTCAAAACTGCTAGGATGTTTCTCAATTCAATTTCAGATTGTTGGATCCTTCCCAGGTTAGCCTCAGTATCTTCTTTGCAAACTTGAAGACAAGCCAACTCCTCTTTCTTTTTCCGAAAATAAGACATTGAAGCATTTACCCTTGCCTTTGCTCTAACTTCTCGCTGTTCAAAGTAAGCAACCGATGAAGAAAAATTAGATAGAGAATATCTCAGTGCCGATAACTTCTTATCTACAAGAGCTTTTTTATCTTGCATTTCAGAAGAAAGTAGCTCAAGGGATCTAAACTCTTCCTGCTTTAGCTGAAGCCCTTCTTCTGTTGCTTCAATTTCTCTCAAAACTTCATCAAAGTCAACAAAAGCTTGCTCTGCATTCAATAAACGGGCACGGATTTCCTCCACTGAAACTTTTGTACCAAGGTAAGTAGGAGGAGCACAAGACTGAAGACATTTCTCTCCATCAATTTCCACGTGTTTTTCCGAGCAATGAAGTTCTCCTCTAGATTCAACTCTGTTTTGTTCATAAGAAGAAAGCCTTCTTCTCAGTTCATCCCTCTCGTGCATTGCTATCTCATACAAGCCCATCAGCTTTTCATTTTCTTCATGCAATTCCATGCGCTGCTGCTCTAGGTTCTCAACTGTTTTCATCTCTAGCTCACTTAAGTTGGCAAGTTCAGAAGCACTGTCATTATTATGAACTTCCATGCCATTTTGTCCCCTCTCAGCACTATTATCATCATCACGAACCTCCATGCCATTTTGTTCACTCTTAGAATCGTTCACATTGTTGTAGCTACTTTTTGAAGCTGCCCGTTCATACATTTCAATGAGACTGTTTTTTTCCTCAATTAATGCTTTGAGTTTTGACTGTAGCTCTTCATTTGCCACAATAAATGTTTCAAGCTTCAACTGCAGATCATTATTCTCCGTATACAATGTAATAGCTTTTTCATGAGCTTCAGCTTCTCGTTGACTTGCTGCAGCAATGGCGTCAACCATTGTTTTGAGCTCCATTTGGTCATTGGCATTGACAACTGATGCATCAGTTGATAAAGGAAGTTCAAGTTGCTCTGTTCTCTCGTTTGTAGCTCTATAAGATCTCTCTTCTTCAAGTTTCATCATGAGATCATTGACATGCCTACAAAATAATCTGGTCAGGCTGACAGCATTTTGAGATAGTGCAGAACATACATGCATACACAAACTTATTAGGTATTTCAGCCTCTACACAAACGTACATTCACTATCAGCTGTTATCAAGTTAAAGGTAAAAGCAACCAAACATGTTAATTGAAGAATTCAATCAACTGGATCTTCTAACATTTTGATTGGTAAAAGAATTAAGAGTCAATTTTTACCTTTCTAGTCTATCCTTCTCTTCAAAACAGAACTCCAGCTGCTTATGGAGCAAGTCAATTTCAGCCTGGTTTTGAATAGTCTATAATACAGCAAATTATGTTTATGTCCCTTGTATCAAATGAAAGCCACATAAAAGTTTGTGAACAAAGAAGCAGGGTGGCCGACCTGTATGCGGAGGAACTCGTTCTCCTCATTAATTGAAGATTGACAAGGTGATCTTGGTTCCTGTGTTAACAAGAATGTTATTTATATCCACAAAGTCTTTAGTGCTAAAATATACACGAGTAATACAAACACCAAATAAAGCATACATGGCACAGTTTGTAAGATAATTCAAAACATACACCAAGCACTTGCCAGTATAACATGATACACTAGAAACAAAATTATATGTGAACCTCAAACATTCAATCAGGCAGAATTGCTGCTTTTTTTTCTTTTTTTGTAATGATATTGGTTGGTAAAAGCAAGAATGCCTGCCTTATCCTTGACAAAAATATCATACATAATGGGGTGGGGTGACTAATGCAATGAGATTCTGAAATATAGAACGGTGAATACAATATTCTCTAAATATCATATTACAATGTCATAAAATTTGTGCTGCAGGATGGTTGCAGTATACAATCCAGGAACCTCCCCGTTGCCTATAATAACAGTCACACCCGTGCACGCTCTTGTCGCGAAATCAAGTTTAAGTACCCAGCAGTCAAATTGCTAATTACACAAGCATTGAACACAAGTTTGAAGTCTGGGATATGATTACTATTGAATAAACAGAAAAGCAACTACAGATATCATACTAGCGAGCAACAAACTCTTGCAACAATGAAAAAGAAATTAAAAACATTGTCACCAGACTTTCATGAATGAGTACAAGCCATTAGCATATTTTACATCCCATCTCAATGAATGCAATCAAAACTGATATTTTAAAAGTTAAACTTATATGCGAAAGTAGTTACAATGTTGTGAAAAAAGCTTTGGGAAATGCATCCGCTTGAATTGTACCTGAATTGAAATCGGTAGTTCATCCTGAACTTCTGTCTCCATGTCTAAGCTAGTTTTCTGTAATGGAAAGAAATCAAAAACTCACAGTTAATGAGGAAAAAAACTAAATATAACCATGCATTTTCATAGTTCACAGCAAAGCTTGTGAAGAACCTGAACTGCCGAGGAATCCGTTTCATGCATGAGTTTCCAATCTAGTGCTTCTAGTAACTGCATATACAGTTAGAAGATGTTTTAGAAACAGGATACTTTGACCACAAACACAGCTTAAAACAAGTTAGACATTGTTTTAGGAACACGATAATTTGACTGCGAACACAACTTAAAACAAGTTAGACATTGTTTTCTCTACCTTATTCTGTAAAACCATGATTTGTTCATTCATCATCTCCCTTTCACCTTCCTCGCAGAATGACTTTAATCTGTGAAGTAGAACCAAAATAAGCACCCAAATCTTTGAAATAGTTTCAGAATGTAACTTTAATTGAACACAGAACTATTAATTGAAATCTGTTATTTCCAAACAAAAACCAATAAAAAGAATATACATGGCCTGATTAAATGAAAATGTACCTTTTCTGATTTTTTACTCCAAACTTTCTTTGGAACATTCCCATTTCTCACGGTTCAGTTTGTTGGAAGCTACTGTTTATTGCTATCAGAGATGTTTGACCTCAGTTTTAGTGCTAATATGATGTACTTCTATCAGCATAAGTTTTACATAAATTTACATCCAGCTCTGTTTTTTTTTTATTATTATTAGAAAGATACTCCATGATCACTAATCCACTCTGTTTTTTTTTTTATTATTAGAAAGATACTCCATGATCACTACATTAATCTTATGTGGTTGTTTCATGTTGAATTTCTCAGGATGGACAACCACTGTATATAAATCGACACCATATAATTTGTCTTGCCACTTTACTGAGAATAGAAAGAATAAAAAAGGCTAAAAAAGGCATGCCTTCTAATTTCTTCCTTCAGACGCAAATTTTCTGTGGCAAATCTTGTGACTTCTTGGTTGCGGTCAACCTGGGTTCGCCAAACTTCAATTTCCTTGAGATGTTCCTCCTTTTCTTTCAACAAGTGTGTTTCAGCCGAAATCTTTCCTGCAGCAACTGCTTCTAGCCTCTTTACTCCAGCTTCTCGGAATCGTACTATCATTTTTAAGCTTTTTATCTCATCCTCTCTTTGTTTGGCCTGGTACATTCCATTTCAAATTACCCAAATTAACTTCTAGAAAAAATTTCAAATTATTAATTAAATCCAAGCAATTTATTTCACACATACCAGTTGCATAGCTGCTTGATTTTCAGCTTTTAATGCCTTCAATGCTATGTCCTTATCTTTTTCTCGCCTGAAGGCCCCAATAAGGGCAACTTCATAATCTTTCTTCTAAGAAAGCACGGGGAAAATTTAGCTGATGGTCATTTAACAATCCTGAATCAAATATTCAATGTTAAGAACAACTGATGGGTACCTGAGACATCCTTTTTTCAGGCATAAGCGGACTAGATGAACCATGAAGCCCTTCCCACTGAAATTGTCCAGGAGATCCAAGGCAGCTTAAAGATGAAGTATCGTTATCTAGATTTTCAACACCCCCATTGACTAAACTGCGAAGTCTGGACACTTCTTTCTGAAAATATATGAACAAAGATTGTAGGTAAAAAAATTGTCCTTGTCACTTTTCTGAACAATAGTGAGTTTTTTAGGTAATAGTGACGTAACAACATCTCAAAAACAAAACAAAAATATAGTGACTTAACAACATCTCAAAAACAAAACAAAAATACAGTGCTCTGAAATAAGAGTAATTCTCATACTACTCACAAGCTAAGAGAGAGAATCTCAAATTAAGTACAATACCTTAAGTTGTTGAATTTGCATTCGCATCACAATAACATCACCCGATGCATCTTCATTGATAATTGCCTGGATAACAGAATGATAGTTGATAATTAGAAATTAGATTTACCACGTAAGGGGAAGAAAAGTATGTCCTAAATTTTAATTTTCCATTTGTTGCAATAGTATCAGTTACAAAAGATACCTTATTCCCTATTTTTTGACTGCTAGTAATCAGGTATGGATTATATATAAACTTCAAGGCAAATTAAATATTATAGAAGGTACATATCACATACATTGTTTTTGATGAATTTTGCACGTTGTGCAAACTTCAATGTGCTAAGCGTCTCCAAAGAACAACTGCAAGGGAACCATAAAATTTGATATACTGAAATGTGAATATCCGCGCATAAATATGCCATGCTTGTCAAAATTTATTTTTAAGTTTGCATGGCAAGAACCTAAAGAAACAATTATGAAAAAATAGATAGCAACAAACCAAAGAGATGGGCTAATATTAGCAATTATGATAGTTTTTGAATTTCCTCCTAGAGAATCCTGGAAGAAAAGGATAAAAAAAAATGTTGATTAAATAGAAGTATATATATTAGCAAGCCATATCTATGATAAAGGAAATTACAACTTCTAAAACAATCAAGACATTTAATGCAAAATAATATTATAAAATGCTAGAGCTTTTATCTCTTTGTAAAAACTAAATGTTATGAACTCTTCAACTACACCACATAAAATAACAGTATAAAACTAAAAAGGTCTACCTGAAGCAAAAATGTGAGCTTTGAATCCCTGTAAGGAACATGGAGAGACTTCCCATTTGATATACTTACAAGGTTCATAATAACAAGTCTACAAACATCAAAACCAGTGTAAAGAAATTAATAGTTGACAATGAATTAATTCTTTGAGTTCCCACGTATAAAAACAAAATCTTAAAAAAAATCTGACTGAAGAAATTAAGAATAAGTAGAACACCATACCCCAATGTTGAAAGTGACTTGTTAATATTGGTAGCTTCCTTGAGACGTTCACCTTCAGCACCAGAACTCTTTTGCCTGTGTTGATAAACACATGGTTATTAAAATGGATTGAAATCTTTACTAATTGCCTTTTTCAATAAAATCAATGTTCTATTCCACATCCTTGTACCTCTCAGATCCTGCTAAATCAACAAGATTAAGCCGAGCAAACCGATGGTGAGTTACACCTTGGGATTCCCACTGATGACAAACCAGCAATTAGAATTGCCACATCAAATCAGCTCATTTAAAAGAATTTAGATCACTTTTTTTTATATGCAAAACCAAATATCTTTCAAGAATGAGATAAAGAAGGCATTCAGTATATGTTATTTTTCAAGAAATTCAACAAAGAACTTTTGTCTAACTCATTTTTTCAAATAAAAAATGTGAGAAAGAACACTAACCTTACTCTCAATGATGCATGTAAATACACTATGAGAACGACTACTTGCATGATTCATATTAGTGGCTGCTACTTTTCTATTTGCTGCACCCTGAAAAAACAGTGCATAAATCTTGGTTAAGTATAATTTTGAGGAAATACAGCAAGAATCATCCATGCAAATGCATAAGTTCTGAAGAGTGATTTATTATAAAAAAGAATTCTTCTTCCATGTAAAACTTTTTCTATTGGTGTTTTTTCCCAATTTTCCAGCAACAATCTCATACTTGTAACATCGTAGTTTTTGCTTCATGATTTTGGAAGCTTAGTGCTTGTTCTGATAATCAAAAACAATTGGAGATTTCAAAACAGAGGACTGATTAAAACTTATTTCTCACAGTAAGTTCACTCTGAAGAGCACAATGTGTGAAGGCAATTTGTATACCTGAATGAGTTGTTGAAGCACATCTCGAGCACTTGTAACTTCTATCTCCTTAAGATTATCCACATAAATCCCTTTCTTCACATCTTCTCTTATCTGTAGTAATAATGTCCACCAAATATTCTTAATTTCACCAAAAATCTCAATTCAATAAAAGTAAAAAGAGCACAACTTCATATACACTCACATGGTTTAATACTGTTCAAAATAAATTAATGAAAACAATGTTGTTTACAGCATAAGCAATAAAAGAGGAATTTGAGAGTTAGAGTTCTTTCATGGCAGAATTCTTTTCCACATTGCAAATTGGTTTTTATTATTGCAGCCAGGGAAAAGAAAACATATAAATTGAAGAGATACAGACTTCAAGTAACCTGTACCTGTAAGTTGGAAGATGATGGATCCAGGAGATCAAGAATCTGTTCATTGTATATTTCCAAGAAAGAGCATTTACAGGTAAATTTTATCTTTTCCTCTTTACGAGCCTCTTTTTCCTGACACAAATTAACAATTAAAACCACATTTAGATTCTTGTCACAGAAACCAACAAAAGTGATATCAGCAACCCCTTAAAAAAGAAAGCTAATCTCTAGTTCAGCCTTTGGCCAACAGTTTGGATATGAATTATGTGAATGTAAAAGGAAAAAAGGCAAGCAGCTAATCTTTGCTCCTTTGCGAACAAAAAGATACCAGATATGCATACATTAAACAGAATTGTAAGGAAATCCTAGAAGCAGTTAAACGCAATTCATGATAAAGGCAAAATCAATGAGAGAGCATATATCTTCCTTGTTATAATTGTGCAATTTGTCTCATATTTTCTGGCTTTGCTAAATAGGTACTGACATGCGATTAATTCTTCGGGAGTAGCACACAAATATCCAAAAAATAGTACTCCTAAACATAGCCTCACACCAAAATGTAAAATGAATATATTCATAGTTCAACTTGATGTCCAAGAGAAAAATCACAAACCTTCTGGATTCTTGAAAACAAATACTCAAATACTCTAGGTGTCATCCCACAATTAACACTGTGTCTTCGAGTACCTCCCTCGATGTCTCCAAGCATTGTATGAGTCTTTCCGCTTCCAGTCTGCACATAATTTCAGCCAGGTAAACACGATTTTTCTGCTTTTCACAACATTTTCCTTTTAATCTATTTTTCTTAGACACTAAAACAACTAGACTATCACATTAGAGCTGAAAACCGTTAGCAAAATCTCACTTGGCCATATGCAAACATGCAACTGTTGTAGCCTCCCATACAATTGTCCACCATAGGTAATCCAGCAACTTTGAACATTTTTTCCTGTTACACCACAGTAATCAAATTAAACATGGAAATTGAGATTCTACAAAAAATAAACACCAAAAAGAAGTGTATACCTGACTAACAGTTTCATCCGCTACAAGATCGAAAGTAAACCGCGATTCTGGATGCCCAGTCCAGGTAATTGTCTGACAACTTTCTTGCCTAACGCACTTGCTATGCCCTTGTACAGAGATTTCCGAACCAGTCAACGGTCTTAACCTTATAATAACCTAAGAAAATAAACATAATTGAACCAAAACTATAGCTTAATTGAATAACAAATTCACTTAATTTAAAGCTTGATTAGCATCAAGTCATGATATTTTGGACTAAATCATGACTTATTAAAAGTAAATTAAACCTGCACGTTATGGTCCTTCCAGAAGGAAGGATCCTCGGAGAACTCATAGCTCTGTGCGTGACGCGGCGCGGCCACCTCTGAGCCTGTAGCGCCACCGTGATCATCGTCATCATCCATGTCACTAATTCTCCGGACTGCTGACGTAGCAAAGACAGATTGGGTGGAAGCAAGGTGATGATCTCGAGAAACAGATTTCAGTAGATCTGGCGTACACGGCACGGATTCCGAGACGGACTGGTCTTGGAACCCGAACCGCCTCTTAATCGCGCTCGCAGTATCCAGTAAGAAAGGCATTTTAGAGTTCGTGAAGGAAACTGAGTTCCTGTAGTGAAATTTCTAGGGTTTCGAAGTTGATTGCAAATTCTAGGGCAAGATTTTAGGGATAGGAGAGGGTGTTTGGGAGGTTAGAAAATCTGGAGAGAGCGAGGGAGAAGAAAAGAGGGGAGAGAGTGGTTTCTTTTGAAAAATGAGTTTTTGTGGGAAATTGAGGGATTTGAAAATTTAGCGAGTGATCGGACGGTGGAGAGAGGCTTGGGTAAACGGTTAGCAGGGTTTGGATTTTAAGCTTTTTGACCGTTTGAGATTTGAGGGTTTGAAAATGTTCAAACTGCGGAACCTAACTTTAAACTTTTATGATTATAAAACTACAGCTCAGCATTACAGTTTATAAAAACATCAAGAGTTTGTATGGAACGCTAATGTATATCATGTTTTTAATTTTTTTTATTGAAAATAAAAATAATTTATATTTTCAGATATATACTAGTATTAAAAATAATTTTTAAAATAAAAAAATTATTTTAATATATTTTCAAATAAAAAACACTTTGAATAATTATTGCTATTATAATTTCAAATAAGCTCTAAATATATTATTAAATTATTGAAAAACTAATAATTTTGTATTCCAATTATTTTTATATCAATTTTATCATTAAATTATTTTATTTTCTTAATTAAAAACTTCTACATAAGTAATGTTATTCTTATGAAAAAAATATAATATTAATAAAAATATTAATAAAAACCATTAGAAATTGATGAAAGTCTCTGGACAAAAATTCTTAAAATTTTGTTGATAGAACTATATAAAAATAATTTTGATTTGAAGTTAAGATTATCTTAAGTATATTTTTTATATTTTTTTATTTAGTGTTTATTTAAGATTGTGGTTGGATTGCATTTTTAAAAGATTTTAAAATTCTTTTAGTTTTAAATTATATTTTTATTATTATTTTGATATGTTGATCTTAAAAATAATTTTAAAAAAAATATATTATTTTAATGAATTTCAAAGTAAAAACTATTTTGAAAAACAATATCTATCACATTTTTAAACAATCATTTAAATTAGAATTTATAATTTACTGTTTTTTTGAAATATTCATGGTTGCGTATTTTTTTCTCTAAAAAAAATATAGATTTAACAATAGGAAAAATTATTGAATATATCAAGATTATTTTCTCTTGAAGTTACTGAATATATATATATATATCAATTTGTGTTCTACTTGTTTCTCTCCTCCTCTTGCTTTTTAGTTTTTTTTTCAGTGTCTATCTCAACGTAGTGATAAAATTCAATTCCAAAGATGGGTGATTTTTTATTTATTTATTATTTTTCTTTTCATCTGGGGTGTAATAATGTATGGCCCACTGCTCTGGGCTTCACAGAGCATTTGTTAACCACGAGCTCATGTAAATCCCTTATTAATTTCATTCCATGGGGATGTTTTGATTTTAAATTTTTTATAAATTAAAAGTCTATCGAAGCCCGTAAAATAAAATAGCAATATGCGATACACGGGAGACCATGCAATTCATGGGCCAGTTAGATGATCCAGGCCCAGTACATACTGAAATCGAGCTAATCTGTCAGGAAAATGTTAACAGAGGGCGACAATGACCCCGACCAGGCACAAAAATCAACTCGCTGACCTTGCAATCTACAATGGCCCAGTTAGATGATCCAGGCCCATTAAAAATTGAAATCAAGCTAGTCTATCATGAAAATCTGAACGGACGGCGATAATTATCCCGGTCATGCGCGCATTTTCAGGGGGTGTTTGGTTCGGAGATATAATTGATTTTTTTCTTTTTTAGAATTTATATAAAATCATGTACATGATGACATGTGGATTGACTGAATAACCTATACTCTAAATCAAGTTAGATCTTAAATTGGGTTTTACAGCTACACGATTTTTATATAAAAATTTATAATTTTTGTATATTTTTACCCAATAATCTAAACTCTAAATCATGTTTAGCTTTAATTGGATTTTACAACTACATAATTTTTATATAATAATTTGTAACTTTTATGCTTTTTTAGGTTACGAGGAATTTTATATAAGAATCTATAACATTTTTATACTTTTTAGGTGATGAGTAATTATCATTCCGTTGTGATGTAACTTTATAAATGTTAATGATAACTTGTGTATATAGTTGATTTAAAGGATGTTTTATAGTGTAGTTATATTTTTTTTTTAATGTTTTTTATTTAGAAATATATCAAAATAATATTTTTTTAAAATTTTAAAAAATTATTTTTGAAATTAATGTATTAAAATAATCTAAAAATATGAAATAAATATTAATTTAAAACAAAAAACAAAAAAAATATTTTTAAAAAAAACATAAAAATAAACATCCCATTAACTTATCAATATTATAAAATACGTTTGCAATTAACATTTCACGGCTAAAATTTTAATTAAATTGATAAAATGATTTAGATTTGAATTTTCAAATGATATTTTATGACAAACATGTGTTGTAAAAACAACGGATATATAATCATGATCGGAAAGTAGTGACATATTCAAAATAAATAAATAAACAATGATATCGTTATATAATATATTTGTTGAGATAGTAAACCCATATCTTTTAATTCTTTTGATAGTTACTGAGATCTTACGTGTTTTGTAAGAACAAAAAAGAATTATTACACATCTCACTTGCCCTAATCTAGACCAATCGACAGTAGAATCATTGTTTCTATTTTTATACTCACCATTTAAGGTAATCACAACTCCCTTTATTTTCATACTCATCATTTTCATTCTATTTGTCACTAATATGTTATTTTATTTTATTTTATGATTTGAGGTTTTTTTATTTATATGGCTATGTGTGTTTCTTATATATTATTTATCCAAAGCATTTCAATATGATATTAGATTTTTTTCTTTAATAAAATTACATTGTTTATTGATTGATTTGTTCTAATTAAAAAGAATTAGGAGAAATATAGACAAATAATCAATTAAATTTTTTTTCTACTCGTACTTTTAATGCATTTTTATTTGAACAAATATTGTTAAATAATGAATCTTAATTCAATTTAATAAATAAAATTTATATTTGGTTTTTATTATCGAATTAAATTATGAAGAAAACTCATAAATCTAAATAAGTATATAATTACCCATCCTTTATTTAATTCATTTTTTTATAAAATATTGAGAAAAATTGATTCTAATGTTTTTATAAATAAAAAATTTCATAAAATAAAATATAACAAGATTTAACAACAGTATTAAATAATGTGAATGAACCTTGACAGCCAAGTTAGATAATTCTAGCACATGAAAAAACCTATTCAAGATGGGCTACCAAAGGAAAGAAGAAAAACCTTTAAAAGGCAATTGCCCCCACCAAGTGTAGAAATGGAACATGTTAAAGTTATTTAATTTTACACCCCCATTGAATATTTAATTTAACCATAGCCCAAGTTTTATTCAAACAACTTTTAGATGCCCTTGACAATCAAGGATTTGAAACTTTGGTTTTGAATGCAAATATTTGCTTTGTTTCAAGTCATAAAGATAGTTTCCCACTATCCAACTCTTAGAAGACCTATATTCTTTCTAACATAATTGCAAGTGGCAAATATTTACCAAGTTGCTCTTGTAAATATAAATGGTGATTGTTGATATAACTTACTAATATCAATATCATGGGTGAAGAATTTTGCACGATAGGACTCTTAATTAACTTTTTGAAATATATTAGATTTGAATTAACATAATGACATTTTATAAGAAAAACACCGGTTGCGAATCTTAAATAGTTAAATTCTTAACTATTTTTGTGAAATATACTAGATTTGAATTAATAAAATGTCATTTAATGAGAGACACGTGTTCTGAAAACATTAAAGACATCATCAAAATCAAAGAGTAGGTGAAGTCTCAAAAGAAGAAAAATGACCTGTTTTCATACAAAACCGTTTATAAATTTATAAAATTCATATTAATAGGTTATTGACAGGGTAAGACTTGTATTATTGTCTCCAATTGATAATAACTTACTGGGTTTTTCAGAGTGATTTATCGTGAAACAAATACCGAAGAGCTTTGTTATTATTATTTGATTCTTTTTTCACCTTCCTAAGGTAATTACAATTCTCTTTTCTTTTTTATGTTTGTGCTTTTACTAATAGTTTTTCTTATAATTACTTGAGACTTTTGATTTAAATGCATGTTTGTTTTTAGATGAAAGCACCTGGAATTATTTTTTTATTACTATGCTGAGATCTGCATTATCTCTGTATAGATTTGCTAAATCTATGCCACTAGAGGAGTAAAGAAAACAAAAAAATGGTGCTTGATAGAAGAGTATTATATCCATAGATTTAATGCCTTTTTCTTTTATTTTTTTGTGATTTAATCGAATAATTTTTCCATTTAGATAGCTTTTTTTTTTTTTAATTTAGTACTGTTTTTTAAATTCAACATTAGCTACTTCTTTTAAAATATATGTGCGTCGCTGTAGATGACCTTATCCTATTAATTATTAGAATGGGTCATTTCAATATCAAGGTGTTCTACTACAATTATTACTCAATTTCAAACTTTTATTGAAAGAAAATTTTTATCCAAACACATGTATTTGTACATATATATATATAAAACAAACAATTCTCTTACAAAAATTATAGTTTATATTAATACTTTTAAACAACCAAATTTTAATTATTAACTTACTCGAAAAGTTTAGATTTGAATTAATACAATGATATTTTATAAGAAACACTTGCATTAGAAATTATAAATTCCTGACAAGAATCAAAAAGTAGTGTTGAAATATATATATATATATATGATCACTTTAGCCTTTTGGTTCTTATGCATGTATATATGTTGTTAGTTGAAAGCACTTGTGAACAGTTTGATCAACAATTATTTTTATTATTTCCCTTCAATTAATATTTGCTTTACTTCTGTATAGATTTGTTAAATTTATGCCATTAGAAGAGTAAGGGAAAGAAAAGAATGGTGACTGATAAAAGATTTTTTTCTCATATATTTAATGCCTTTTCTTTGAATGTTTTGTGATCTAATTAATTAATGAGTTTTCCAGTAAGATAGCTTTTTAAAAAAATTGTTTAATCCACAGTTTTTTGAATTTAACATTATTTATTTATTTATTTTAAAACACAACTACTTAATTCACTACAATAACCTCAATTCATTGACAAAGCTTTTATATATAGCAGGTTTACTCAAACAATTTTGACCAAAATCTGATTATTTACAAAATGATTTATATTTTTAAACAGTCAACTCTCACTTTGAAACTAATTATTAAAATAGATCATTTAATATTCAAAATAAATAAATAAACAATGATATCGTTATATAATATATTTGTTGAGATAGTAAGCCCATATCTTTTAATTCTTTTGATAGTTACTGAGATCTTACGTGTTTTGTAAGAACAAAAAAGAATTATTACACATCTCACTTGTCCTAATCTAGACCAATCGACAGTAGAATCATTGTCTCTATTTTTATACTCACCATTTAAGGTAATCACAATTCCCTTTATTTTCATACCCACCATTTTCATTCTATTTGTCACTAATATGTCATTTTTTTTTTATGATTTGAGTTTTTTTTTTGTTTATATCGTTGTTTGTGTTTCTTATATATTATTTATCAAAAGCATTTCAATATGATATTAGATTTTTTTTCCCTTGATGAAATTGCATTGTTTGTTAATTGATTTGTTAAATTCTAATTAAAAAGGATTAGGAGAAATAAAAGACAAATACTAGACTAAAAGGCTTTTCTACTAATACTTTTAATGCATTTTCATTTGAACAAATGTTGTGAAAGTAATGAATCTTAATTCAATTTAATAAATAAAATTTATATTTAGTTTTTATTATCGAATTAAATTATGAAGAAAACTAAAAAATCTAAATAAGTATATAATTACCCATCCTTTATTTAATTCATTTTTTTATAAAATCTCGAGAAAAATTAATTCTAATTTTTTTATAAATAAAAAACTTCATAAAATAAAATAGAACAAAATTTAACAACAGTATTAAATAACGTGAGTGAACCTCAACAGACAGCCAAGTTAAATAATTCTAGCACATGAAAAAGCTTATTCAAGATGGGCTACCAAAGGAAAGAAGAAAAATCTTTAAAAGGCAATTGCCCCCACCGAGTGTAGAAATGGAACATATTAAAGTTATTTAATTTTACACCCTCATTGAATATCTAATTTAACCATGGCCCAAGTTTTATCCAAACAACTTTTAGAGGCCCTTGACAATCAAGGACTCGAAACTTTGGGTTTGGATGCAAATATTTGCTTTGTTTCAAGTCATAGAGATAGTTTCTCACTATCAAATTCTTAGAAGACCTATATTCCTTGTAACATAATTGCAAGTGGCAAATATTTACCAAGTTACTCTTGTAAATATAAATGGTGATTGTTGATTTAACCTACCAATATCAATATCATGAGTGAAGAATTTTGAACAATGGAACTTTTAATTAACTTTTTGGAATACATTATATTTGAATTAACATAGTGACATTTTATAAAAGAAACATGGTGAATCTTAAATAATTAAATTCTTAACTATTTTTTTGAAATATACTAGATTTGAATTAATATAATGTCATTTAATGAGAGACACGTGTTCTGAAAACATTAAAAACCTCGTCAGAATCAGAGAGTAGGTGAAGTCTTAAAAAAAGAAAAATGATCTGTCTTTATACAAAACCGTTTATAAATTTATAAAATTCACATTAATAGGTTATTGATAGAATAAGACTTGTATTATCATCTCCAATTGATAATCACTTACTAGGTTTTTCAGAGTGCTTCGTCATAAAACAAATATCGAAGAGCTTTGTTATCACTATTTGATTCCTTTTTTACCTTCCTAAGGTAATCACAATTCCCTTTTCTATTTTATGTTTGTGCTTTTACTAATAGTTTTTCTTATAAGTACTTGAGACTTTTGATTTAAATGCATGTTTGTTTTTAGATGAAAGCACCTGGGATTATTTTTTTTTTCTTATGCTGAGATCTGCATTATCTCTGTATAGATTTGCTAAATCTATGCCACTAGAAGATTAAAGAAAACAAAAAAATGGTGCTTGATAGAAGAGTTTTATGTCCATAGATTTAATGCCCTTTTCTTTTATTTGTTTGCGATTTAATCGAATAATTTTTCCATTTAGATAGCTTCTTATTATTTTTTTAATCCAGTACTGTTTTTTAAATTCAACATTAGCTACTTCTTTTAAAATATATGTGCGTCGCTGTAGATGACCTTATCCTATTAATTATTAGAATGGGTCATTTCAATATCAAGGTGCTCTACTACATTTATTACTCAATTTCAAACTTTTATTGAAAGAAAATTTTTATCCAAACACACGTATTCATACATATCTGCATACATAGGTTGTCGAATTATGAAGAGTTTAAAAAATATATATATATAAAACAAGCAGTTCTCTTAAAAAAATTATAGTTTAGATTAATACTTTTAAACAACAAAATTTTAATTATTAACTTACTCGAAAAGTTTAGATTTGAATTAATACAATGATATTTTATAAGAAACACTTGCATTAGAAATTATAAATTCCTGACAAGAATCAAAAAGTAGTGTTGAAATATATATATATATATATGATCACTTTAGCCTTTTGGTTCTTATGCATGTATATATGTTGTTAGTTGAAAGCACTTGTGAACAGTTTGATCAACAATTATTTTTATTATTTCCCTTCAATTAATATTTGCTTTACTTCTGTATAGATTTGTTAAATTTATGCCATTAGAAGAGTAAGGGAAAGAAAAGAATGGTGACTGATAAAAGATTTTTTTCTCATATATTTAATGCCTTTTCTTTGAATGTTTTGTGATCTAATTAATTAATGAGTTTTCCAGTAAGATAGCTTTTTAAAAAAATTGTTTAATCCACAGTTTTTTGAATTTAACATTATTTATTTATTTATTTTAAAACACAACTACTTAATTCACTACAATAACCTCAATTCATTGACAAAGCTTTTATATATAGCAGGTTTACTCAAACAATTTTGACCAAAATCTGATTATTTACAAAATGATTTATATTTTTAAACAGTCAACTCTCACTTTGAAACTAATTATTAAAATAGATCATTTCAATTTCAAGGTGTTTTTTTATAATTATTACTTGATTTAGAACTTTTGTTGAAAGAAAAAATTTATTCAAACACACAAATTCATATACATAGCTTTGCTAAATTTTGAATATACTTTTTTTAAAAAAATATTAAACAAGAAATTATCCTAAAAAAGAGTCTAGATTAACACCTTTAAACAATCAATTTTTAATTAACTTACTTAAATAGTTTAGATTTGAATTAACATAAAGATATTTTATAAGAGACATGTATTTCAGAAATAGTAAAGACATAACTAGAATTAAATAGTAGATGAAATCTAAAAAAAAAAAAACCTATCTTTATATGAAACTATATATAAAATTATAAAATTACCCTGATAGAATTTTGATATAGTAAAAATTGTATCACTTATTGGATTCTTGTTTTATAATAAAATAAAAACTAAAGCACTCCATCTCATCTCTCTCAACCTTGCAATGTCAACTTTCTTTTCATCTTCATATTGTATATTGTCTAATTACAATTCCCTTTCCTTTTAATTTCATGCCTATATATGCTTTTACTAAGAATATTTTAGATTTCTTTATGATCAGTACTTGAGCCTTTTGGTTTCTATGCATGCATGCATGTTGTTAGTTGAAAGCATACGTGAATAGTTTGATTAGAATTTAATATTGATATTTTTTTTCTTTTTATTAAGATTTGCATTCCCCCACCATATAGATTTGTTAAATTTATGCCATTAGAAGAGCAAGGAAAAGAAGGAAAATGCTGCTCGGTAAAAGAGTTTATGTGTTTTATAAATTTAATGCCTTTTTCTTTGATTGTTTTTGTTAATTAATTAATCTTCCCTTTAAGATATATATCTCTTCAAAAAATTTGTTAATTCCATTGTTGTTTGAATTTAACATTAATTTTTTTTAAAAAATACATGTACTTCACTTCACTATATTAATTACTTTATCATATTAAGAAGCTTAAGATAGTAGATTTAGGATTTTTTTGAGTATGGTTGTAGTTATTTTTTAAAATGTTTTTTATTTAGAAAAGTATTAAAATAATATTTTTTTATTTTTAAAAATTATTTTTGATATTAGCGCATTAAAATTATTTAAAAACATCAAGAAAATATTAATTTAAAGTAGAAAAAATAAAAATATTTTATTTTAAAAAATGTTTTTAAAATATAAAAATAATAAATTCTTATACATTTTTTATTGAAAGAATTTTATCAACTGTAAACTTGAAACTAATCATTGGTATGGTTCATTTCAACTGTAAACTAATGTCACAAAAAACTCCTTTATTTTCTGTTCTAATTAAAATTTTAATTGATATATATCTTACCATTTCAGAGTTTAGATTATACTCAATTTTTAAATTTGGTTTTAATGCTTTAAAGATCCATTGGATTCTAGTGTTTGATTCAATTATCTTATCCAGTGGAAACATTGGTCTCACTTTGATCCCTTTCTCGTGCAAGTTGTAATTATATATTAAAAAAAGTTCTTATAAATTTATCTACGTAATTTAATTAATAGAGAAAATTAAAATTTAAAATTAATAACCTGTACCTCAAGTTTTGTTCTAAAAAAAAAAGAGAACGTAATTTAATTAATAGAGAAAATTAAATTTTAAAATTAATTACCTGTACCTCAAGTTTTGTTCTCAAAAAAAAAAAAAAAAAAAAAAAATTATAGAGCAAAACCCCATGAAAAAATTTATCAACGTTCTTTTTTTTTCAAAAGAAAAATATATAACACTTTAATTAATTTAAATATGATTGACAATTATGCATTATTAATATCTATATTTATTGATAATTTTGATAAAATAAATGTAATTGAAAATAGTCTTAGTGGTTTTATTATTCTATCCTGATAGATATTACTCATGGTAGTACTGCTTGCATTTCTAGCAATTCTTGTATTGACTATTTTACTTCCTGTAGTTTATTTTTCGAGTTTCTTCTCCAGATAAGAAAATGGCACGATTAAACGATGACGTCACCTCCGTCAGCATCCATGAGTATGGTGTCTCATTGGATGACAGAAAGAGTAAAGTTCAATGCAAGTTTTGCGACAAGGTGATGAGTGGATTTTATCGACTGAAGTTCCACATAGGAGGTGTTAGGGGCGATGTTGCTCCTTGTGATGCTGCTCCCCTTAATGTCAGGGAGCAATTCAGGAGGCAAATTCTTGAAGCGAAAGGCAAAATTCTCGCTCAAGAGTCAGACCATCCTAGGAATGATCAAAGTGCAGCGGCAGTAAATGCATGGACAGGAGGGTTGCTGGTAGAAAGAGAAGGAGAATCACAAACCTCGGTTTCAAACGAAGTTGCCGAATACTTCCTCGAAACGGGGATCAATGTAAAGCCTTCCAGTCCGCGAAGGTTTCATGGGATATTCGGTGGAACCATTTCTGATGAACTAGAATTTGAGGTGCTAGAAGAAAAGTTAAAGGACGTGCAGGAAAAGGTGGAAACAATTAGAAAAACATGGGCTTCCAGTGGCTGTACGATTCTGATGGATGAATGGGTAGATGGAAATGATCGTTGTCTGGTCAATTTCCTGGTAGATTGCCCGGATGGTCTTGTTTATCTGCGGTCAGCTGATATTACAGATATAACTGGCAACACTGTTGCCTTGCAGAACTTATTAGATGGTGTTATTGAGGAGGTTGGGCAACAAAATGTTGTTCAGGTAATGACTTGTTCCATAACAAGCTGGACGTTTCCAGTTATCAAGCAGATTAGGAAGAGTCATATGCACATTTTCTGGGCCGTAAGTGCATCAGATTGCATGGGTCTCATGCTAGAAAAGATTGCTGCTGTAAATGACATTAGAAGGGTGTTGGATGAGGCAACAGGCCTTGTCAGGTTTGTTCACAACAATGCAGCAGTGCTAAAGATGTTTAGAGGCTTCACAGGCTCTGAAAGGGAGAACCTTTTCAAGCCTTCAAAGTTGAGGTCGGCAATTCCCTTTTTGATCCTGGAGAGCATCCTCTCCTACAAAGATGAACTGAAAGAAATGTTCACTTCATTAGAGTGGAAATCTTGTTTTTGGTCAAAGAAAGTGGAAGGCAAGAAGGCAGCTGGCTTGGTGAAGAGTTCTTCTTTTTGGAAGAGAGCAGGAATGGCATCAAAGGCAACAACCGCACTCATCCGTGTTGTTGACAAGATCAGTGCCGATAATAAGCCTTCGATTGGCTTTATATATGAAACAATGGATCAGATAAAGGAGGCAATACAGTATGAGTTCAGAGACAGTAAGTCCGGACACATTCCGCTGTGGGAATTGATTGACGAAATATGGGATGATTTTCTTCATAGCCCTCTTCATGCTGCTGCTTATTACCTAAATCCCACCTTTTTTTATAATAGAAATTTCCATCTGGACACTGAAGTCTCGAGTGGACTTCAATGCTCCATTATTCGGATGGAAAACGATCAGCGTATTCAATACCTAATTAATCAACAGGCAGCCCAGTACTGCCGAGCCGATGGTGATTTCGAGAACGGATACGCTGATGATGAAATAAACAATGCTCATCCAGGTAAAGTAACTTCTTTCAGGATACTAAGAAAATTATTTCTCGCATTCAGTATTGAGTAAGGCTACATTAAACTTGTATTCTATGTAACATCAATTGCAGACCTGTGGTGGTCGGTCTATGGTAATCGCTGCCCCGAGTTGCAGAAACTAGCCATTCGTATCTTGAGCCAGACTTGTGATGGGTCTGGCAGATACAGCCTAGACAGGAGCCTTGCGGAGAAGTTGGTATGCAAAGTGCAGAATCAACATGAACAACATCGTCTCCGAGATCAGATGTTTGTTCGGTACAACCTGCAACTCGAAGAAGCAAACAAAAAGAAAAGAAAGGCGGGGGGCGATATTGATAGCGGAGGTCCATCAGGATCTCGATCTAATAAAAGGCGGAGACCAATGTAAGAGGTATTAACAAACTCTGATAACGTTATTTCCATTGTAGGGAGGCTCGAAGTAAATGATCTTAGAAGATTGCTTGCCCCTGAAAGAAGACAAGGTGCAGATTTTTGCCTTCCTGTAGGCTACAGCAAAAATGTGTTCCAGTTCATAGCAGTGTAATAAAGAGTTGTTCAGTTACTTTACTGATCCCTTCATTTGGCAAGTAAATTTGCACAAGGATTCATCATTTAATTGTAAATGCTATCAAATTTTCCCTTTATCTTTGAATTTCTGGTGATTTTTGAGTAATGAATTTCCTAATTGGATGGCTCCATTTTTAAGAAATAATTCTGATTGTTTTTATATTTATTTAATCATTTCATCTAATTACTAGTATTTGAATATAGTGATTCGATCCATGTTGATAATAAATTTCTCAGTGGATTTGATTAGAGCCAATTTATGCCGAATCCAGTTCTAAAAGAAATTATCACTCGTTTTATATGTGCCCCTCCTTTATTTTAAACTAATAATTATTATTATTATACTGACATATGATTGTTATTTTTTTATAATTTCTCTCTTGTATAATCATAAAAAAAAAAAGCTATTGATAAATTACTTTCAAAAACTCATAATATTACCGTAAGCTTTATGATATTTAGTCAGGCTTTATGATTTAAATAGCTGGCTTTTTGGAATGATGAGAGATATGGTTTCCAGGGAGAATACCAGGCTTTAATACTTTTGGCAGTTTATGAATTTAAAAAATAGTATTATTAAACCCGGTTTAATTTAGTGACTGGATCACCAATTTAAAATTTAATCAGAATAAAGTTTTATGTTAAATTAAGTAGGAATCAACTAATCATTAAATCCCATATAAGAATAATAAAAGTTTATATCATTTTATTTTAGCTCATACAATTTTATTATAGTGGAGGTGGCAAACAGGAACTAGGTGGATTTTTCAACGATGAAAGTGTTGATGATTTGCATCAGTTTAGTAGCTGGTTCGGAGATAGGGTTAATGGTAAAGAACCCATGTTGCTGTCCTTCAAACTCAACATACTGGATATCTTTTCCCCATTCTTGGAGTCTCTCTGCATAGTCCTTGGCTCGATCTTTGAGCAGATCACTACCTCCCATTACAACCAGGATTGGATCAAGTTCCAATGGTTCAAGACTCCGGCTTTGTGGTCCAAATGGGTTCACCAGTGGATGATCAGTTGTATCTCCTATGGGAATAGACAGCCTCCAAAACCTAGCCACATTTAAATGAAAAAGTAACTTCTCAGGAAACCAAATAGTACTCAGAATATAGATTGATTCGAGTTAAACTTTGAGTCTAGTCTGATAACTAGTAATGGTAGCGTGAAAAATGGTGTGTACAAACCTGTCGATAAGCTCCCAATTCAGGAATGCTTCTTTCGGTCCCTCGGCCTCTGATTTACTCTTCACTGTCCCACCAAAAAAGGGTGCCAAAAGAACATAACCCCTAACAAGAACCGGAGCCAACTCTGGAGAACCAGCTCCTAACCGAACTGCCAGGTTATGAGCAATGTTCCCACCAGCTGAATCACCAGAAATGAACACCTTGCTGAAATCAGCAACATCGGTCAACCAGGTGTCCGGCTCTTCAGACATTGCTTGTGCTTGGAGCCATTTCACGGCCATGTAACCATCCTCAATGGCAGCTGGGAGCCGGTTCTCTGGAGCCAGGCGATAGTCAGGCGAAATTATCACAGCTTGGAGGTCCAAGGCAAGCTTAAAGCAGTAATTCTGGCAGTTAGGCCAAGCACGGGAGCCAATGCAAAAGCCACCACCATGGATGTAGTAGAAGATAGGGAGCTTTGTGGAAGAGGGGCAAGCTGGTTTGTAGAGACGGAGATGGAGATCATGCGTGGAGTCAAAGAAAGCATCTTTCCAGACAACAGAACCATCATCATGGACAGGAACTTTGAAGCTTGGTTCAGAAGAACGCCAGATAGAGCCATCACTGTACACGCGAAGGACTCCACGACATTCATCAACCTCATATGGCTGCTCAGCAGCGGCGGCACCGGTAGTTATGTTGGACATCTCTCTCTGATGGTGAGGGAAGACCTGAAAAATTGGGGATTAAGAAGGAGAGGGATAGAAGCACAGAGCTGGAACAAGCAAAGAGTCAAAAGAGCCGGCTCTCTGTTAAAGTCTCAGAATATCTTTATTAGACAGATGGCTTGTTGTTTCTGGATTTTTGTATGGTTTGGTTGGCAGGACAAAGTACTTTGGATGCTTCTCTATTTCACTGTTTGTGTTTGTCACATACTACCAGCAGAGCATACCAATAGACTTTTCTGTCTTTGTGGATTACGTGGAGAGCATTAGAACTCTAACAGAAAGCTGCAAACATCTATCCTAAAAAGATAAATTAGACTCGTCATAAGATAGAAAACAGTCATAAAACTAGCAATTTATTCCAGAACCATATACCGCTTGACTATAGATCAAGCTCAACAAAGCCCTGCATTCCCAGTCCACTACCATAAGAGGAAACAGAATTTTGTCCGTGTTAAACCGAGGAGATGCACTCCGCTCTAGTGATTTTGTTTTGAATTCCAAGCTGAGAAAATTGTATCTGGAAAATAGACGGTGGATTTCACGGTACGCTGAAAGGTCATGCTAGGGATACTAATAGATCAGGCACATTTAAAATAGCACCAGCCTGTGGTGGTTTTGGATCAGTTCAATTTCTAATCCATTCTTCTATCATATGGTTTCTTATCTCTAAGATGCCTCGTTAATTCAAAAACAATCTATAGCAAACAAGACTCCAAGGTCACATTGAAGTAAAACTGCAATTTTAGTAATAACATGCCAATCGGAAGGACTAACAAAATCCAGCAACAAGACAAGAAACTTACTGCAACTGGGAAATTCTCTACATGGAAATAATTTCTGATCATTTTAGAATAATTTCCAATGCCCTGTGCTCGAAGTTCGTACGATAGTTATTTTCAGCAAGAATATAGTTCCCTCAAGGTTGGGATGCATTCTTAAAAACGTTACCCCGATTTAAAGAGAAGGCTGACTTGAAAGTTTAAAAATAACTATAATCTACGAAGCAAACACTATCAACTGATGTTTAAGGCCTAAGGGATATTTCAGGTGGGAAATTCACAAGAAAATGCTGACAAATTTCATATCCACAGGCCCAGCTTGCGTCATACAATAATATTTTTTATTTTCTCTCCATGGTGCCGAATAATGTAAGGATAGCTCACAGTCATGCAATAATATTTTTTCTCTCCATGGTGCCGAATAATTTACGGGTTGCTCACATTCAAAGAACAAAACCAAAGGGCATAAGAAATAATGAAAGAAACACAATGAACTCCCTTTTTTGAGAAATTCATCTGGCCAGCTGGAGATGGCTTAAAAAATCAAAATATCTTAAAATTAAAAGATAGCTACATTAGTATTTACATTTTTGTTATCCCCACCTCATTGCAATTACATAATAAAGTTGGATATGAGAGATGAGGGAAAATAATTTACAGAATATGGAAAAATAAATATAAAAAAAGTGAGGAACTGGAAAAAAGAATTTAACCTTCAGCAAATTTTTGTTACAGGCCAAAAATATGTGATTCATGCAGAATACATCTCAAAGTTCATAAGCGTTTGGAATAGCCAGAACCTGCACACTTCTTGCAGAGTATCAATCCTGCAAGGCAATCAGGAGCAAATGAGAGTGAACAGATCAAATAGTTTGTGCTTTAATATGTCCTTGTCACTTTGAATTTAAAATTAAGCCAGATTAGATAGCGCATAAAACTAACATTGTTCAACAATCAAGAGTGAAATAACATCCACTTGCAAAAATTTCCCGTGAATGGAGTTGGGAAGTCATATTTTTGCATCTGAATGCACTAGCTGCTTATATAGAATTAACTAATGATACTCTAATGGTAATCAAGAACAGAAGTGAGGTTATCAATCATTTACTAAATATTTGGATATCAAAAGACACCATTGGTGCTAGTGACAGCTATCTGAACATAAGAGATTCTACCTGCACCCTTGCACACCCTGCAATCCATCAAGCCTGTTTCTTGTTTCATCTTGCCATCATTGCAAAACACACATTTTGTGCCGCCTATACATCGTAACAAGTTCAATCAAGACACGCTCTTTCCAATTAATGCAATAATCCAATGAGAACACAAAATTAATAGTACTTCTGCTAACAGCGAGAGAAGGCTGCACATAATAGTCAGTTTTGAACGTATTGTTTCTAACAATAAGCTGAATTGAGTTGCTTTCTCTCCTGCTCAAATTCAGGTCTCACAGCCAAGCTTCCAGTGCAGGTCTCCATTAACGGTTTGTCAAACTATGCTGCTATAATGAATCCCAGTCGCAGAGTGGAATCTCACCACTGTTCTGATTCACAATGAAGACTTTTCCACCCCGCCACACCGCCCCCCC